AGGGTCAGCGACGCATCGGCATGTGTGGACATTGTCCACCAACGGCTAGATTGGATAAATCAGGAAGAAACAAGAACAAGGGTCCAACGGGTCAAACCCATCATCCCCCTTCCGCTGGCGGATCACTCCCGCGCAAAAACTGGTCCACGCTGTGCACATTTCCACACACACACACACAAACAATGACATACCTCCCTGCTCCCTCAGCAACAATACTATTCCCTCCAGCAGAACACCATCGCCTCTTCTCGTCCCTATCTCTTCCTATTGCACTTATCTTTACCGCACTCGTTTCCTGGATTTTCACCACACATCCTTCCCGAATTGCCCATCATCCTCGCCACCCTCTCCCATATGCCGTACTCTCTCTCTACAAACCTTTTCTGCACCCCCCACCGACTACCGGTCCTGAGCAGACACATACATGAGCATCCAGCAAGCGCTACATTTTCAAAAATTTCATCGAATGCAGCTGTTTAGTGAAGACAGATTTAAAATTTCATCTAATTTTGATCTCTGTGATAATCGGAGATACCTGAACAATCGACAGCAAGCACCAACTGGCACGGATGTTGATCGCTGTCTTTTCACATAAATTTTGAAATACACATATATCCTGTATTCCCAATAAACCATCCACACATTGCCCATGACGTATGTATTTTATGTAATTGCCGGCAATTTAGTGAATCATACGCTATGGGCGTATATGGATGAATTACTGAAAATACGGAGATATAAATGTAATTCAAATTTTTTGTTTGCCAAGGATTGCTTAGAATCAAGTTGGTGGCAGGCTCAGCTTTCCTGGCATGCACAATTACCAATTTACCATCGAAACGAATGAACGAATCGTAGAGGGATTGATTGTTGCACTGGCGGAGTAACAGTTCGAACTTCAGCACGAACAGCGCTTCTTTGCATTGCGCACGTATCATTCAGTAATTCACGTCGTCCATCTGTGATCTCTCATTCTCGCCATGGCTGTCTGTTAAATGCGAAAAAGATAACAAACAAGCATTTGCACCGTAGATTTACTGCAGTTAAGTGGAAACGATGGATTTTTTTCTTTCTCCGTCTGACATACCTTCGCTCCCTCACATGCCCTGCCCCC